TTCACAGGGTTGCTATGGGTCACAGTCAACTCGAAGGGACATAATAACAACGACATACAAACCGATAAAAAAAAAGAAGCAAACTCACTCAATAAACTAGAAATAGCAGGCTCTTCTATCTAAAGGACATGTATGAAAAACCCACAGCTAACAGACTTCGTGATAAAACACAGGTGCGTTCCCTCTAAAATCAGGAGCAAGATAAAAGACTTCAGTTCTTGTCAGTTCTTGTCAGTTCTATTCAACAATGGACTGGAAGTTCCTCTCAATTAGGCAAGGAGGAGGGGAAAGGCATTCAGAAGACAAAAAAAGAAAATTCATTTCCTGAAGGCAGTCAGATCTCACATTCAAAGAGCGTAAGACCACCAGCCAAGCCCACTGCTTCTGAGTCAATTCTGGTTCACGCAAACCCTCCACAGAGAGGACCATGCAAAATACCCCTAGGAATTCCCTTAAAAACTGACAGTAGTGGTAAGAAGCTGCACTGCAATCCTGAAGGCACAAGGTTCAAATCCATCAGCCCCTCCATGGGAGAAGGATGGACCACCTCCTCCCATGTGATTTACTGCCTCTGAAAAAACCACTGGAGAATCAGCTATAGGTTAGTCTGACTCAATGGTACACAACAAGGATTAGGAAAAAGTTTAGCAACACTACATGATTCAGATCACTTCATAAAACTTAATTGGTTTTTTTAAACTTTTAAAAAATTTTAATTATTATTTTGTGTGTGTTTACTGTCAAATCAGATCTGACTGGTAGAGGAGGAGGTTGTTCCTCCTTCTCCAGCAGAGCATCTGGTGGATTTGAACCGTGCACCTCTGGGATTGCAGTACAGCTTCTTGCCACTAGGCCACCAGAGCTCGCCAACTTAATTGTATTTTTATACACTTAAAACAAATACTGTGAAAATAAAAATTCCAACCAAAATACCATAAAAAGGAATAAAACTTTTTGGAACAAATTTAACAAAATATAAACTTTATATTCTGGAAACGATATAATGTTGATGAGAAAAATCAAAGAAGAGCTAAAGAAATGGAAAAACATCCATATTCAAGGGTTAGAAGACTTAACATTGTCAAGGTAACAGTATTTCTCAAATTGATCTACAGATTCAACACGATTTTCAGAATCCTGGGTGACTATAGGAATTGACCAGCCATTACTGAAATTCATGTGGAATCACAAGGTGCTCAGAAAAACAAAAACAATTTTGAAAAACAAGAACTTAGGAGGGTTTGTAAGTCCAGATTTCAAAACTTAGTACAACACAGTGGTCACCAGGGAGTGTGGTATTGTCATGAGGTTAGACAAACAGATCAATATAGACAATGGAAGAACTCAGAGTCCAGAGACACAGCCATGCATTTATGCATTCACGGACAACTGATTTTTAACAAGGGTTTCACTTCCATTCAACAGACAAAGAATAGACTTTTCAACAAATGCTGATACAACTGGCTAGCCACATGTGAAGAAAAGAAGCTGGCTCCGTACTTCACACGCACAAACATGGAAACTCAGAAGAACACACAGGGTAAATCTTGATGACCCTGGATTTGGCAAAGAATTGTTAGATTTGACACAAAATGTACAACTAAGGAAAGGAAAAAGCCAACAAGACAAACTGGATTTCATCAAACTTAACTTGTGTGCTTCAAAGAACCTCATTAATAAAATGAAAAGACAGCCTACAGAATAGGAGGTAACATTCACAAATTATATACCTGCTTAAAAACAGCCAACCCACCCACTGTTAACAGAGTCACCACACCTATCAGACCAGCGCCCTGCAGAACTGCCTCATAGGGTTTCCAGGGCACAGGACATAGCAGACTTTAGGGCTGCTGTACATAGGGTCGCTATGAGTTGCAAGCGACTCGACGGCACATAACAACAACAACAACAACAGTCTTTACAGAATGCAGTGCTGGTAGCTGAGTGCTAACAAAGTGCACTGTAAATTCAAAGGTGGTTGTTGTTGTTGTTATGTGCTGTCGAGTCGTTTGCGACTCATAGCGACCCTATGCACAACAGCCCTAAACCCTGCTCTGTCCTGTGACAACTGCACTGCCTCTGACACACCCATGCTGATTACCCCAGTCACTGAATCAATCCATCTCATAGAGGGTCTTCCCCTCCTGCGCCGTCCCTCCACCCTACCAAGCATGATGTCCCTCTCCAAGGACCTGGCCCTCCTGGCAACATGTCCAAAGTATGTCAGACGAAGCCCCAGAATCCTTGCCTCCAAAGAGTAGCTTGGTTTAATCCTCTCCAAGATGAATCTGTTTGTTTTCCTGGCAGTCCATGGTACATTCAGTACTCTTCTCCAGCACCACAGCTCAAAGGCATCAATTCTCCTTCTGTCCTCCCTAGTCATTGTCCAACTCTCTGATGCATAACAAGCAACTGCAAAGACCATGGCCTGTATCAGGTGCACCTTAGTCTCCAGAGAGACACCGTTGCTCCTGAGTACTTTAGAGAGGTCCCTAACAGCAGACTTTGCCATCGCGATACGCTTTTTGATTTCCTGACTGCTGGTGCCAAGACTGTTGACTGTGGAGCCGAGCAATTCAAAGGTACATGGCTCAAATCCACCAGCTGCTCCGCAGGAGAAAGATGGGTAATCTCCCTGCCTCTGAAAACTCACCGGCGGCGGTTCAGCTATGCATTGGTTGCGACTCCACAGTTCTCAACAACCACCATCTTTACGGAAGCAGAATGCCAGGTCTTTGTCTCACTGGGCTCTTGGTGTGATTCACTACCCTTCCAAGTAGCTTAACCACTGGGCCACCAGGGCCTGATATATCTGATAAGCTGCTCACATTTAGAATGCAAACATTCTTCCAACTCAATGATATGTTAAAAAAGAAAATCCGATTTAAAAAACCAGACAAAGGACCTGAACAGACATTTTTCCAAGGAAGAGACACCAGTGACCAATGAGCATGTAGGAAAGTGTTTGGTATCATTAGTCACCAGAGAGAGCAAATCAGAGCCACCGGGAGCTACACTTCACGGCCCTCCGCGTGGCCAGAATCACAGGCAGGCAGCTTCGAGTGTTACCGAGAACGTGGAGAAGACCTCTTGGATCCTGTTCTTGGAAATGTACAGTGGTACTATCACTTTGGAAAACTATCTGGCAGTTGCTCAAATGGTTACACATGACCCAACACTGCTACCTCCATGTTGTCTCCTCAAGAAAGAGAAAAACATGGAATCACACAAAAGCCCAGACATCAAGGTTTACAGCTGTGTTACTCTTAATAACAGAAAGATGTCCACCAAAAAAATAAACGGACATGAAAAATGTGGTCTTGAATATGACGGAATATAACTTGGTCATAAAGAGCATGAAGTATATATGCACACCCATGTTTACCGCGGCTTTGTTCACAATAGCAAGGAGTTGGAAAGTGCCCATCAACAAAAGAATGGATAAAGAAGCTGTGGTATATTTACACAACGGAATACTACGCTGCATTGAAAAACAAGGAACTCATGCAATATTATTAAAAATGTGTGAGACCCTGGAGGACATTATGCTGAGTGAACTATCTCAGTCACAAAAGGACAGATACTTCATAGCACCACTGTTGTAAAACAGGACTGACATCGGGATTGGGGGGAGACTGAGGAAGATGGGTTCAATAATGTATACTGCATTGAAACAGATGAGGGA